CTTTACCTGTTTCTCTCCTGACTCTAAGGCCAGTCATCGTTCTAATTTACCATACTGCTCCTTTAGAGAGCTGACTACATTTTCCTTTCTACAAGCAGAGTCAAGAATAATTTACCCTCAACTAAACACAAAGAATAATCAAAAGTAAAGGAAATAGTCTTAGAAAGAAATCCCCTTGAAAGGCTTAAATGGAACTTGAAAAATCCCAATATCTGGAATTTGATAAACTGCCACCAAGTGGAAGATGTATCTATGAACAACTTAGATTCTTAAAAACCTCAAACAGCCATTGACCGATAATCTAATTAAGCTTTTACATTTTGCTATTGAATTAATTGCCCTTAAATTTCTAGTTATTTTATCACATGGAATGCGAAGTTTAATTGTTTGTGACAATGATGGAGATATTTTTATTGTACTTCCTTTCTGACTTGCGCGTACCACTATGTATAGAAATCACTACCTCCTGATGTAGTCTACTCCTCTATTGAACAGCTGTAATTGTTAGGATGACCTTTCTTAGAGATAGCCATGAGGCGTAGTGGATATAATGATGAACTTATAGTTAAGATGACCAGAATTACATTCCTACCTCAGACATTGAATAGCTTTGTGACCCTGAGCAAGTTGCAAACCCTCTCCCAGGTCCAATTTAATCATATATAAAATTAGTATAATAATGGTACCCAATAGAGATGCTGGGAGGATCAAATGAGAAAGCAGATGTAAAGTACTTTTCAAACCTTAAAGTTTCATATATATGCTAGTTGTTATTGCAGTGAACATCAATATATCTCTCTGACATTTGTTCTTTCTGAGTTCTCTCTGAGGCCAAATAAACTCTCCTTTGCACATAATAATATGATGACTCATTTTTCTGAGTATTTTCTTTTTCATGCTTAACCTCCCTAGACCTTAATATATAAAGCCAGGACTAGAGTTTTCTAAGTTTTAGTACGATACATATTTTGGGTAGAGGAGTAAGAATGGGGTGGGAGGATTGATAGCATGTTATATTACCCACATTATAAATGTGTTGTTTGGCAGGTGCTTTGCACACTCAAAGGGGATTTGGTTCTTGTCATGTTGAATTAAAGGTGATGGTGAGACATCTAGGAGAAGATATCCTAAAGAAAGTTGGAGATCTATGTCTGAAAAGGGTGAGAAGTTGCACAAGAATCCAATATAGATAAGATCAGGGAGAGAAAAAAAACAGAAAAAAATGTTTGCAGTAATTTTTTTTGGATAAAGATCTTATCTCTGATTGGGGTAGAACTAAGATGGCTGATTAAAAGCAGTGACTTGCTTGAGCTCTCCCCTAAACCCCTCTAAATACCTGTAAAAAATGACTCTAAGCAAATTCTAGAGCAGCAGAACCCACAAAAAGACAGAGTGAAACAAATTTCCAACCCAACACAGCCTGGATGGTTGATAGGAAAGGTCTGTTGCACTGGGCTGAGAGGCAAGCACAGTTCAATGTGGGCCACGCAGACCAAGACCAGGCCCCCTAGGGGAGGCCTCAAGGGACTGAATCACTGGCTGCTGTGGTGGTTTCCAGACTTCTCAATGCACAAAAGCCAAAGATGATTTAGAAGGTCAGTGGGAAAGGTCTGTGGGACCTGGGTGAGAGAGGAGCATGGTCTAGCCCTGGCCCTAGCATAGCCCCAGGGTGGCAGCAGCAGTGGCTGCTTCTGGAGCTCTCAGCTCACAGATGGTGGGGGGGGGGGATCAAGTGGATGATCAGAGGGGTACTGCAAGGATCTCTTTGCTGATGCTGAGGCAGGATTCTCTTGCTTTACCCTTGCTTGGATCTGGGTCGCAGTCCTGGGGCGGCAGTCCTGGGTGAAGGAGGAACGCTGATGAGGCAGAGCTTGCTGCAGTGGGTGAAAGAAAATCCTCCTCACAGTTCCAAGGCAGAAAAGAGTGTTTGTGATCACTCATAGACCAGAGCACAGGCCAGTAAAGGAGTAAACACCTTGCCTTTGATCATACCACCTTGCAAGAACTGAAAGTTTACAGGTCCCTAGAAGTGTCTCTGAAAACAGCTACATAAAACCCCTGAAGTTTGGGACAGTACACCCTCCACACTGGAAGCAGAGCCCTACCTTAACAAAGAGTTTTTTTTTTAAAAAAGACCTTATTTCTAAAATAAATAAGGGACGGATTCAATTTACAAGACTAAAAGTCATTCTACAATAGATTAATGAGAGTTATCAGAGGAAGAAATCCAAATATTAATGTCCATATAAAAGGTTTTAAATCATTAATAATCAAAGTAATAAAAATTAGGGGAAATTTGAGGTTCTACCCCACACTTACTAGACTAACAAAAATTTAGAAAAAGAGGAAAATGACAAATTTTGATAGGGCTATTGGAAAACAGTCACACTATTGAACTATTGGTAGAGTTGCAAGTTGCTTTGGACATTCTATAAAAGAATTTGGAACCCTACTCAGAAAGTTATCAAATTGTGTATACCCTTTCATCAAGTTATATTATTAAGCCTATATCCCCAAAGGAGATACAATAAAGCATAAATAGATCTACATGGCAGAAATATTTATAGCAGCTTTTTTTCATTGTAGCCAAACATTGAAAACTAAGAGGCTATCCTTCTATTGATTAATGGGGATATTATTATACCATAAGGAATAATGAAATAGGCACTTTCAGAGCTGAAGCAGAGAAAAGTGAGCAGAATTAGAAGAAAAATTCATACAATAATAAGGGGAAAACAACCTAGGAAGATTTTATGAACTCTTTTTGATTCTTGTCCATAAATCTTAAGTCCTAAAAATTGAAGATGAAACACTCCACTTACCTTCTGCTACAGAGATGCAGAGAGAGATACAATATTTCACAAATGGCCAATGTGGAAATTTTTTGCCAGACTATGTAGCTATCTATTGAAAGCTTTTTGGGAAGAGTTTGTTCTTTTACTATGATTGTTATTATTTCTTCAATTGGGAGGGAGGAGAATGGAAGGGGTAGATATCTTTTTCAAGAGAGGTTATTATGGTTTGGAATGAATGAATCTGTTAAATAAATACCAATAGACTATGTTGGAAGTCCCAAAGATCCTTCCTGTTCTAAAGAACTATTGTAGAAAGAACAGTCAATTTAGATTCAGAGGACCTAAATTCAAAGTTCAATTTTTATTCTGATTGTGTGACTATGTGGATGTAATTTAGTCTCTCCCTTCTTAGTTTCCTTGTCTGTAAAATGAGAGGATTGACCTTGATGGCCTCATATACTGTTCAGCACATAAATTATGATCTTGTGTTATTCCATCAGACAGCCTTTTGAATTCTTGAAGCTACTGACCATATTCATAAGATCATAGATTTTGACCAAGATGGGACTTAAGTGCTATCTTTTTCAAGCTAAATATTTTTTTAACTGATGTTCTCATGGGCTGGGTTTCAACCCACCCACCTCTACTCCACTTCTGGTCACTCTTCTATGGAGTCATTCCATCTTGTCTACATGGTTCACAAAACACAACATCTAGAGCAGAACAAAATACTTAGAATATGTTCTGATCAAAGCAGAGAAAAGCAGGTCCACTAGTTCCCTCATGCTATATATTCTACAAATATTAATGAAGCTTAAGTTCAAATTAGCTTTCTTTGGAGACAACATACCATTGAAAAAAGCTGAGTTTGTCATCAATGAAACCCTCCAGGTCTTTTTCACATAAATTTCTATTTAGTGCATTAGATGGAGAGAACAATGGCATTATTACAATTTGGTTTTATGTGCCTAACAAAAGACCTGTGTCTATGTGGTACATCATGGTACATTATTAAATCAGCATCATTGCTCTCATTTAACATACCTCCCTCCTATACCTAATGGTCACTGCTTAGTCCTTTCTCCTTAATTCCTTCATAAAAAACTGTTGAAAAAATTTTTTGTGGAAGCTTAGACAGGATTTAACCACTGAGTATGATGTTGGAATCAATGAACTCTAAGCTCACTTCCACTTCTAAAATCATATGTTTCCAGGAGCCCATGATTCAACTGCTTGTAGTTGATTATATCAGATATCTCTAAGATCTCTTTCATCTCTTGAAGTCCACGATCCTGAGAATTATTGGAGTAGAAGCCACAGCATTTTTGTTACTGAATAATATATTTTTTAAGTTTTATTGATGACTTCTGTTTTATATAACTCATTTTTGTTGTGTTTTTTTTAATTAACAAAGAAATACAATTTAGGAAAACAACCAATATCTTAACCATGTCTGACAAGATATACAATTTTCTAATCTCGTAGTGTCCCTATCTGCTAAATTGAAGGAAGTGTTTTTCACTACTTGTTTTCTGTGACCATCATTGGTTTTTCAGATACCCAGAGTTGGGTTCCCTCTTTGGGATCTTTTCATTTATCCTGTTATAGTCATTGTGCATGTTATTTTTTTTCCTTGTTCATAGGATCATTGATTTAGTGGTCTTCTTATTTAACTCTGCATTAGTTTATATACATATTCCCATGTTTCTTGAAAGTTTTTAGTGAGTAACTCTTGAAAGAAGAAAGAATGCCTTAAGAGCCTATGTAGTGAAAACAGTAAGCCAATATGTCAAGGAGAGTGCTGGCCTCAGGGCATACCAGAGCTGGTTCTCATTTAGTTTGTTTCAACATTTAATTGAGGTAGCAGGGTACTCTATTCCAAGGGCATCCATTGTAAATGTCTATAATTTTATGGGGTTCTGGGTGTGAAATGGGTTTTAAACATGGCATTGTGGTCAGGAATGCTTCTTCCTAACTGTGAAAGAATTTTCATAAAATGAGCTTTATTGCAGGTTGGAGAAAAAGGGGATGGGGAGGTGGAGTTGTTTTGAAGTAATAACAATTTTTCAAAATTTGGGTGGAGGACATTTTCCAATATATAGCACACACAGTACCCAGGTTATTCACTCTGTCTTTCTCCTACAGAGAGTGTCACTAAAAGCATCACTTCCTAGAGAAGATACAAGAGCTATGGCTAGCTCCATGATGAAGACAGCAATCGTTTGCATACTCTTCTCCTTAGTGCTGGGTGCCATCTTTGCAGGTAAGATGGTTGGAATGGATAATATCCAATGTCCTCTCCAATTTTTGGAAACTGTGTGTGCTACTATGGCATAGGAGTCAGGAGGATTGACTTGAGCCCTGGCTTTTACAGTTAATAGATGTTTGGACAAAGCACTTAATCTGTCCATGCTTTCCTCCTTTACAAAAGAAGGAAAGTAAACTTAATGGTTTCTGTTGTCCCTTCCATCTTTAAGATTATATAATTCTGATGATCCATAATTTTATGGTTAAGATTGGTATAAGCTATAGAAAGCCTACTACCTAGTATCTAATATCATTGAGAGAAAATTTGATGGTTAAAATGTAATACAAATATGATTTTACCTGTGCAGGGAAATCCCAGTGTGGAAATTCATTTTACACATGGAGATCAGCAAGTTTTGTTTTGATTGTTTTTCAATTTGCCGTCTTAGAGTATTTCCTGGAGATACTGAGAGGTTAAGTGATTAATGTAAGGTTAAACAGACAGCATGTGCCAGAGGCAGGGCTTGATCCCAGGTTCTTCTGATGCTGAAGACTGCTCTCTATCCACTATGCAAAATGTCCTATCATTTTCATCATCATTCCCAATAATAACTTGAAAGGCAATATGGTATAATGGGCAAGCTTCAATGTTAAGGAGACCTGGATTCAAGTCCCCACCTCTCACACACATTAACCAAATACCCAAGTCAGGCAACTTTAAGACTAAGTTACAAATGACTAATGCAGAAATATGTGTAATATAATTGTACATGTATAGCCTATATCAGATTGCAGGCCATCTTGGGGAGAGAGAAGGGGCAGGCTAGGGGAAAATTCAGAATTAATAATCTTATAAAAGTGAATGTTGAAAACTAAAAGTTAATTTAAAATAAAAATAAAAGACCTAGTTACATATGATTTGTCAATATATTACAGTATAGGAAGTTTTCAAACTGGGATTTCCCTATATTGATAAAACCCCAAAGAGTAAATCCTACATTTTTGTAGGATCTTATTTATAGAATGTATTAGAAACATTTAGATTAGATTTTGAGTTCCCTTAAGAACACAGACTGTCTTTCACCTTTATCTGTATCCCTAGCACTTAGAACAGTGGCACATACTAGGCACTTAATAATTGCTTATTGACTGACTAAATGACTGACTCAAAATAGCAATCCAATGCTCATTCAAAAGAACACATAGGCCCATGGCATGCCCTATTTAAAGATCTGTTGAACTCTGGTATTAATATTCACATGTTTATAGCACTTGACTGTTTATAAACTCTTTCCCTTACAGAAAAACAAAACTAAACTAAAAAAAAAAGACAAATTGTGAGATAGGCAGTGAATTTTTTTTGTCTACTTTTAACAAGCATGGAAAGTGAGGGACAGAGAAGTGAATATGCTCATATAGTCAGAAAGCAGAAGAACTTGGTATTGAATACTTGGGCATTATTTTCAAGTCCTAGGATCTTTCCACTGCAGACTACTATTATTAAAATAATTCTTTATATTCATTATCTCATTTTATCTTCCCATCATGCTGTGAGGTATTCAGTGTAAATCGTTGGTAAGTTGTAGTAGAAGAGAATAAGATGTAAAGGGCCTTGAGATCATGCCATGTTAAGACTGGTTGGAGGTGCTTGGAATGTTTAGCTGGAAGGAGATGGCGGGGGAGAAGAATAGTATGACTGTGTTCAAGCATTTGAAAAGCTGTCATGTGAGAAGAATTAGATTTCTTCTGTTTAGCCTAAGTACAGAGAACCAGGAGTAACTAGTGAAACTTACTATGAGGCAAAGTTAGATTTAATCCTAGGGAAAATGTCCTAAGAATAGAGTAGCCTAAAAATGAAATGAGCTGCCTTGAGAGGTGGGTGTGAGAGGAGGTCCTGCTGCCTAGCAGTCTTCAAGAAGAGGCTGAATAACTACTTGTGAGGTGTGTTGTTAGGGAAGGTATGGTTTGTATAAAATGGCCACTGAAGTTACCTCCAATTTTCATGTTCTTTGATATTAAGTATTATCATCACTTTACAGATGTAAAAGAAAAAACCCACCGAGATCCAGAAAGAGAGGAAACAATGGATCTAAAATCTGAAGCCAGGACTTCTAATGAATGTCAAGTATAGTACTCAAGCCAGAGAAGCATAGATTAATGTAACTGGAAGAGCCCTTGAGAAATCAACTATTCAAACATCCAAATTTTACAAATAGGAACATTGGAACTCTTAAAGAATTGATTGGCCAAAGGTCATTTGGGAAATCAAGGCAGTCAGGAAAAAAACCCTGGTCTTAGAAGGGAAAGGACTCTAAAAGAGGCTGTATTTAGTTAGAATGCTATAATTTCAGAAGTGGGAGGGATATCAATGGTCCCCTAGTACAATCCTTACCTAAAATCAATTCTTTTAAATACATGCTTCCTGTATTTGAATCTTGGCTCTTCTACTTACTCCAAGTGTGACTTCTAAGATTCCTTCCACTTCTGAAGTCTTATGAATAAGATTAGACAGGCCACTCCTCTGCCCTCAGGCAGGCAGGGACTCACATCTCTTTGAAAGATCCAATCATACATGCCACTTTACTAACTGGTCTACTAAGCCAATGGCAAGAAGAGGGAGAAGAAGAAGCATTTTTTGTTTGTGTAAGTTTTTAACTTAAAACCTTGTATAAATTATTTTTCCCAAAGCATTCTGACTTTTAAGAGGAAGATTCATTGATCTAAACACAGACAAAGCATCTTTTTCACAGAATCACAAAGTTGGAAAGGAATTTAATAAGAGGCTAGTTCAAACACCTCCTAGGAGTGAAGCGACTCTCTCAAGTTCACAGAGCTAACAAGGGACAAGGCAAGACTTGAACCTACTAGGTCTTTTGTCAAAGTTCAGCTCTCTGTCTCTCTGTCTCTCTCTGTGTCTTTCTGTCTCTGTCTCTGTCTCTCTCATCACAACTACCCTCAAGTTTCTGTTATTTCCACTCAGTTGTCCAAAATCTAGATATGCTTTATACATGGGCAAGTGTAAATATAAAATTAATTTAGTTTAATTAAAAAAAGAAATACAATAAAATCTAAGAGATAATAAAATAGATAAAAGGCAATGTAAGCTGAGCATTTGGACTAAGTATCCCTTCCTGATCCTTGAGCCCTATCTATGAATTCAAACATGATTTGGTCTTGAATATGTTGAATTAAAGCTACTGGTAGGTTAGAGAGGTGAAAATATCCTATAAGAAGTTGAAAATGTGGATCTGAAGACAGTGAGAACAGTTAGGGCCGGAATGAATGGATCCAATAAAGAGGGACTTCCTGCTAACATGTGGTATGCTGGGAAGAACACTGGATTTGAATCTCAGAGGACTTGAATTCAGATACCATTTCTGTTACTTTGTGACACTGAGGAAGTCATTTAAACTTTCTCTTCTCAGTTTTCTCATCTATTAAATAAGAAAGCATAGAGCTCCATTTCTTTGATCCTAGAAAAATTTCTTAGATACCAAAAATTATGATATTCTGATTCTGTGAGGTTAGTCAGTCAATAAGCATGTAAGTGCCTACTATGTACCAGGAATTGTGCTAAAAGCTGACCAGTAGTGTAGGGTAGGTAATTGAGGAAGAACATTGAAGAACTATTGCTGTTACAGGTGGGAGGTCTAAAGAGAAACAGAGGAAGAACAAACAGGAATTTAGGGGAAAAAAACTCAGGATAGCTGAAGGTTAACAAACACACCTGAGAATCAAGTTTCTAGAGGGAACTTGAGTTATTGTAATTAATTAGTGAGGAGAGAGTAAGATTAAATATTCTAAAAGATAGTTTCAACCTAACTTTTGCATCTATGGTTTCTCTTCAGGTGCTGCTAGCCAAGTGGGGAAGGCAGGTGGAGCCAATAAAAATCAGAAGCCAGGTATCTCTAACCAGAAGGTGAGACCAGGGTCTACTGCTGATAAAGAAGAGGAGAAAAATATGGCTAAATCTCCTTCTGGCAACATAGCGGAGGTCCAAGTGAGTACCACTGGTTTTTATTTGTTTGTTTCGTTGATGCCACTACATGAAACACCCAGTCAGGATCTGGCAGGGCCAAGACTTTAAGCAGAAAAAAGAGGAAAAAAATTCTTAGAGTACAGATATGAAAAAACTAAGACTAAAATAGCATTATAAAGGGAGAAGACCTTAGAGATTGAGTCCAAATCTCTATTTAATAAATGAATCTCTAACACAACATAGAATATCAAAACTGGAAGGAACCATACAATATAGAATAAATGATTTCAGAATTGGAATAGTTCTCAGAATATAGCTTGTCAAACCCAACTTGGTGGCACACTTCTATAATCCTTACTACTAGAGGAAGTTGAGGCTAGTAAATCACTTAAGTTCAAGGGTTCTGTGCTCCAGTAGGGCAAAAACAAGTTGGGTGTTCACACTGAGGCCCGAACTAATGTGGTGAGACCTTCTGCCTTAGGAGGAATGAATCTCCAGGAGTCAGGTTAATCAAGCTGCATGAGGAAGGTTAAATTGGCCCAGGTTGGAAGAAAAACAGCAAGTTAAGGCTCCCATATCAATCAGCATTGAGAACACGCTTCCTGCCCTGGTAAGATCCAGTCTAAAAGAAGAATCAACACTAGAGCTGGAAGAACACTTACAGATGATCTATTATAAGACTCTCCTTTTGCACTGGAGGAAAGTGAAACAGTCCTAAGAAGACAAAATTTCCAAACTCGATTGAGGCACTATGTTTGCCAACTTGTTTATGACTGCCTCTTTCCCAACCTTTTGACTATTTAAACATAGCACTGAAATGGCTATTCTACATTGGTGTCATCATACTTCTGTTTTCAGAATGACAGCAAGAAGCCATCAGAGGACCAGGGCAACTGTCCAGCACTCTTTGACCCTGTCTGTGGCTCTGATGAAAAAACCTACAACAACATGTGTTCGTTTGAAGAAGCAAATAAGTAAGTAGAGATTGATTCCTTCTGGGAGATGAAATGTTGATCCTTTAACTACCAGCATAGACAAGGGCCCTTAACTCTAGATTTGGAGTCTCACAATTTTAGAGTGGTCCTAGTGAGAAAAGGGGGCTAGGGAAAGTCAACTTGATGTTTGAGAACTAAACAGAAAAAATAGGTGGCTGCATTCAAGACTTTTCAGTAATTCCAGACCTGTGATTCTATGAGTGTATTAAACTCTCAAGATGGAAATGTCTTCCACCAATGGACATTAGTAACTTTTCTTAGAGAGTAACCTGGGGACACTGAGTTTAGCAAACTATCTCTGGTTACCGAGCCATTATTTGAGAAAGGCAGGATTTGAACCCAAGTCTTATTGACTTCAAGACCAACCCTGTAGACATTATGCTATATTGCCTTTTAATTAACCACAGCCTACATTTCTATAGTGATTTAGAGTTTACAAAACACATTCTATATAATACCCATTGTGAGTCAAGTTGTGCAAGTACACTCACCCCTATTTTATAGAAGGGAAGCTGAGGATCAGATAGGTTAAGTAATTTGCCCAGGGGCATATTCCTATGTGGTTGAGCCATACACTGAATTTAAGTCTTGTGACTCCAATGTCAGGTCTCTCTGTACTAAATCACAGATAAGTATCAATTAAGCACTTCCTTTGTAGCTGGCACCTTCCTAAGTATTAGGGCTATAGAAAAAGGCAGAAAGTGTTTGTGTCCTATAGTCTGCTTGGAAAATGTCACAGTAGCTAGAGTCATGCCCACCCCATGGATAAACTAAGTTTGAGCCTGCCACTAGTACATGGAAAATATATAAATATTGTCATTTATACTATTAATCATTTTCATCATTGCCTTTATTCTTTTAGGAAAAGTAATGGAAAACTAAATCTGAAACACAAAGGAAAGTGCTGAGCCCCTGAGGTGGCCAAGTATTGGATGAACCATTATCTACACTTTCCTTTAGCTCAGTGCTTCCTTTTGTGCTCAGATTGAGGGGTTTGGGGACTTCCATGATTACAATTGTCAATAAAGTCAGCTCTACACTGGCCTCTAGTCTTTTCTTTACTTGGAAATTCTGAACTTGGAAAAACCATGTAGAACCAATTTGTAATCCAAACATCTAAATCTGAGCTTCTACCAAGACACTAGCCCTTCCAGAAGCCTCTCAATGTAAAAGTTACTTGTGATTAATCAATAAACTCAATGCTCCTTCTCCATTCTTTCTAGTGTGAATGTCATAACCTACCCACGCCATCATAACTGCTGTAATTCTTAGTCATTCCCTCCTAGAAATACTCCATAGATTATCCACTCAAGTTGCTGGTAGCCTTCTAGGACCTAGAGTCTAGTTCTTCTGGAATTAACGTATTTGAATTCAAATTCAGCTCTTCTATTTATTATTTGTGTGATATTAGACAAGTCATTTAAACTCTCTAGGACTCAGTTCCACAACTGTAATGCGGGGTTGACCTGGAAAGTTTTGGGGATGGCTTCCAACTCTAAATCTATGAACTTATCAAATTTTACACATACTAAAGCAGAATTCAAGTCATTTATCTTTTATCCCATGTTCTAAATACACTATCAATCTGCTTACCCCATCCTCAATTCCCCAGCAATCTAGATAACCTTAAATTATTGAAAACTACAAGATAGGATATCAAAACTGGAAGGGACCTAGAACATATAATGTTCAAGTAAATGTGGAAATCATTGAGTCCAAACTTTCATTTACCAAAGTCAAAATTGAGGTGTCACATGATCATTTCATGGCAGAGCTGAGAACAGGACCAATTTATCCTGTTCTGCAAGGCAGTATTCATTTCAATCTACCAGACTGCTTCCTTCTCACTCAAGAAAAATGTAAAGGAAATCGATTGTCTGCTAACTCTCAAAACCAGAACCTCTTCTATACATAAACACTGCAGGGAAGTAGCGTGGCACAGCAGAAAAACTGTAGTATAGTAGAAAGTTCATTGAATTTAGAATCAGGGAACCTTTGTTTAAATCCTGGTGCTGTCATTCATTATGTCACACTGGCAAGACATTTAACCTCTTGGGACTACAACTTCCTCATCTACAAAATAATAGATGACCTCCAAGGTGTTGTGAAGCTCTTAATCTGTGATCTTGTCACATCCTTCTTTGGAATGTTTGTGTGCATCTATATTTTAAGGGAATGGGGAAGAATGGACTTATGGTCCTCTCTTTCCAAATTCATGGCTCTTTTCAATATACTATATCTATGTGATTATTTGTAAACTCTCTAGGGCCAAAAAACAGAAGAAAGGAGACGCCTTTCAATCATTCAATAACTAAATCTTATTAAATGATTCATGTCTGTTCCAGGCTATGACAATCCTTAGGCCAGAACAGAGAATCTAGTTACATTTGTGGGTCAGGAATTTATGATTTAAATGAGTAAGGATACACAAGCCCTATGATGAAAGGTTAATAGCATTGAAGAAGAGGAATCACTTCAATAATAGGAAGCAGCATGGTTTAGTTGCAGGAGTAGGGAATTAAGTTGAAGGAGATCAAAGTTTAACACTTTCTCTAAAACTTACTAGCTATGTGATCTTAGCCAAGTCCTTTGTTTCACCCAGTCATTCCTCAAAAGTGTTTAGCTACTGACTACCCCTCCCTGAATCTGCCTACCCTTCTATCAGCCTTTCTTCTCTTCTCCCAGTTCTGTCCTAATTTGGCATAGGTAGGAGGTGTGCAATGGAGAATTATACTGTAGTTATAGTTTCTACTCAAGGTACTAAAAAGTAGCTGGTGCTAATCAGGGTGTATTGTTCTATGACTGTGGAAGGTCTACATGAAGATTTTGGACTTATGGGTCAAGAAAGAACCCTAAAGCTAATAAGAAACAGATTTTACGGGCATAAGATATTTTTGAATGTCTCTAAGAGATTGGAGTTCACCATGTGCAAAGAAAAGCACTGCTTACTCATGCTTGGAGAACACAAGTTTTAAATTAAATGAGACAATAGTTTCTCTATTTTTAAAAATAAAACCAACTCGACCAGAGGGAGCCAAGATGGCGGCGGAGTGAAAGCAGTGATTTGCTTGAGCTCTCCCCCAAACCTCTCCAAATACTCATAAAAAATGGCTCTAAACAAATTCTGAAGCAGAAGAACCCACAAAAAGACAGAGTGAAACAAATTTCCAGCCCAAGACAACCTGGATGATTGATCAGCAAGGCATATTGTGACGGGGCAGGTGTCAGTGAACTTGGAGCAGGCCTCAGAGGACTGAATTGTGGGCAGCTATGGAGGTTCCCAGACTCTTCAATCCATGAATGCCAAAGACCACTCAGAAGGTCAGTGGGAAAAGTCTGTTTCTACAATGCTGAGAGAGGAAGGTGGGGTCTCAGCTCCATTCCCCAAAAGTGTGGTCTTGGGGGGAGGGCAGCTTCTTCCTGAGCATCTGGCCCACAGACTGAGGGGGAATCCAGTGGCTGATCAGAGAGGGATTGCAGGGATCTCTTTGCCAGTACTGAAGCAGGAATCTCTTGCTTTGCCCATGTTTGGATCTGGGTCACAGTTCTGGGTGGTGGTGCTGGGGTGAGGAGGAGTGCTGGCTTGGTAGAGCTTGTAGTGGCTCTGCCAGAGAAACCCCTCCTCACAGTTACAGAACAGAAAGCAGTACTTGTGGTCACAGGCCAGTTAAGGAGTAAACACCTCGCCCCTTATCATACCACCCTGGAAGAACTGAAAATTTACAGGTCACTACAAGTATCTCTGAAAACAGCTGTACAAACCCCTGAAGCTTGGGGCAATACATTCTCCCACATTGGAAGCCGACTCTTACCTTAACAAAGAGTTTAAAACTCAAGTAATTGACCGGGATCATGAGCAAGCAGAGCAAAAAGAGTCAGACTATATTTGATTACTTTGGTGACAAAGAAGGTCAAAATATACAACCAGAAGAAGACAAAAAAGTCAAAGTTCCTACATCCAAAGCCTCCAAGAAAAATATGAATCAGTCCCAGGCCTTGGAAGGACTCAAAAGGAATTTTGAGAATCAAGTAAGGGAAGTAGAGGGAAAACTGGGAAGAGAAATGAGACTGATGCAAGAAAATCATGAAACACAAGTCAACAGCTTGCTAAAGGAGCCCCCCTCAAAAAAGCTGAAGAAAATAACACTTTAAAAAATTGCCTAACCCAAATGGCAAAAGAGTTCCAAAAAGCCAATGAGGAGAAAAATGCCCTAAAAAGAAAAATTGGCCAAATGGAAAAGGATGTCTAAAAGCTTACTGAAGAAGATACTTCCTTAAAAATTAGAATACAGAAATTGGAGGCTAGTGACTTTATGAGAAATCAAGACACTGTAAAACAAATGCAAAAGAATGAAAAATTAGAAAACAATGTGAAATATCTCATTGGAAAAACAATTGACCTGGAAAATAGGTCCAGGAGAGAGAATTTAAAAATTATTGGACTCTCTGAAAGCCATGATCAAAAAAAGAGCCTAGACATCATCTTTCAGGAAATTATCAAGGAAAACTGCCCTGATATAGTAGAACCAGAGGGAAAAATAGAAATTGAAAGAATCCACAGATCTCCCCCTGAAAGAGATCCCCAAAGGAAAACTCCTAGGAATATTATAGCCAAATTCCAGAGTTCCCAGGTCAAGCAGAAAATATTACAGGCTACCAGAAGGAAACAATTCAAGTATTGTGGAAACACGATCAGGATAACACAAGATTTGGCAGCTTCTACCTTAAAGGACAGCAGGGCATGGAATATAATATTCTGGAGGGCAAAGGAGATAAGATTACAACCAAGAATCACCTACCCAGAAAAACTGAGTATAATCCTTCAGGGGAAAAAAATGGTCATTCAGTGAAATAGAGGATTTTCAAGTATTCCTGATGAAAAGACCCAGAGCTTAATAGAAAATTTGACTTTCAAATACAGGACTCAAGTGCAACATGAATAGGTAAATAGGAAAGAGAAGTCATAAGAGACTTATTAAGATTGAACTGTTCACATTCCTGTATGGAAAGATGATATTTATAACTCATGAGACCTTTGTTAGTATTAGGGTAGTTGGAAGAAAATAATTATGTGTATGTATATATAGATAGACAGATAGAAGGCACATGTTGAGTTGAAGATTAAGGGGTCATATCTGGAGAATAAAATTAAGGGATGAGAGGGGAATATATTTGGAGAAGAAGAAAGGGAGATGTAGAATGGGGTGAATTATCTCAAAAAAACACAGAAAATAAAAGTCTGTTACAGTGGAGAGGAAACAGGGGAAGGTAAGACGGAATGAGTGAATCTTATTCTCATAGGATTTGGCTTAAGGAGAGAACAACATACGCATTCAGTTGGCTATGGAAACCTGTCTTACAATGCAGAAAAATAGGGGGAGAAGGGGACAAGAGAGCAGGGGGATGATAGAGAGGAGGGCAGATTGGGAAAGGGAGTAATCAGAAGTAAGTACCTCTGAGGAGGGACAGGGTCAAAGGAAAGAATAGAATAAATGGGAGGCAGGATAGGATTAAGGGAAATAGAGTTAGTTTTTCACAACATGTCTACTATGGAGGTGTTTTGCATACCTGGAAATGTACAACCTATGTTGAGTTGCTTGCCTTTTCAATGAGGGTGGGTGGGGAGGGAGGAAGAAAGAAAATTTGAAACCTAAAGTTTTAAAAACATGTTTAAAAAAATGTTTGCACCTGCTACTGGGAAATAAGAAATACAGGAAATGGGGTACAGAAGTGTATCCTGCCCTAAAGGAAAATAGAAGGGGAAGGGGATAAGAGAAGGGAGGGGGGAGAGATAGAAGAGAGGACAGAGTAGGGGAAGGGATATTCAGAATGCATGCCATCTTGGGGTGAGGGGGAGAGGTGAGATGGGGTGAAAATTTGTAACTGAAAGACTTGTGGAAGTGAATGT